CTTGAAATGGATGATTCAAATGTTTTTGGTGATTCAGAAAGATTCACATCTTTCATAGAAGATGATAACAGTGGTGATGACAGCAATGATGACCAAGATGATTCAGTTAATGAAGTTCAGGATCTTGAAATGGATGATTCAAATGAGAAATCAAAGAGTGACAAAATCAACTCCTCAAAATTTATAGAGTTTATGAAGAGATTAGAATCAAGAAAGACATTAGAGAATTTTATTCTTAATGGATGTGGAGAAACAAAAATGTTTTCATTGAAAAATGTTACTTTTGAAACCATAAACACTTTRAAAAAACTGATTAATGATGACAAAGCACAAAGTGAAATACTGGATGAAATTCTTCAAGAGCTATTTGTACTTTTTCCTGGTCTCAACCAAGGTTTACTTCCTATTGACATTTCAAGGGCAATTTCAGCTACTCATAAACTAATTGAAWTGTACCAGATTGAGCACAGGAGTCAATGAAAAACATGTAGCATCAATACTGCTTGTACTTCTTGATAGCATTAAACAAAACAGYACTGAATTACTGAATTATGCTAGACAAAATATCACACACACACACTAGTTTCTGAATCAGAAGCAAAATATGCAGACTGATAATTAAAATGACTCATCGTTTATATACTGTGGTGATGAGGAGTGTGTTTAGTCTGCTTATATTGATTCTCTTTCAAATGTTAGGGGTAATGAGGCTTTAGGTAAATGTTGGTGAGGTATACAAATGGCAGTCGATGTCATTGATGTTAATAAATAATAATCTCCAATTTACCTGGTCAACAATGACATCGACAATCATGTTTTCATTGTAAATAAAGTTAACTTACTTAATTCCTTTTGCCTGTAAATTACATAGTGCAGCACATACGAAAATAATTCTGTCCAACATGGGTTTCAAGACTAGTGGAATAACTCCTGACAGTATACGGAATTGTTTTAATTTTAAAATGTACCTTTCAACATGTGAACGGAGTGAAGCAATTCGTCGAGTATGTGTTGT